ATATTATTTGCTTCTTTATAAAATGTAATTCCAATATCAGGTATTAACAAAAATGATATCATGTTTATCAGGTATTTCCTGCACCAGTTGATAGAGAAAAAGTTAAGTCCTGTCTGTCTGAATTAGGGGATATGAGCAACACATTCAAGCAAGCTTTGAATGCTGGCCTGGAACAACTTGTGGCAACGGTGGCACCCCGCCTGCGTCCGGTGCTAGATCATGTGGGGACCATTAGCTATGAGCTGTCAGAGGCTCAATATGCCGACAATGAGGTTAATGACCCTTGGGTCCAAAGGCTTCTCCATGCTGTTGAGATGAATGTAGCGTGGCTCCAGCCACTAATGACTGCCAACAATTATGACTCATTCGTACATTTGGTACTTGACTTCATTGTGAAGAGGCTTGAAGCAACTATGATACAGAAGAGATTCAGTCAACTTGGAGGCCTTCAGCTGGACAGAGATGCTAGAGCATTGGTAAGCCACTTCTCTAGTATGACGCAAAGGACTGTTAGAGACAAGTTTGCTCGTCTCACTCAAATGGCGACAATCCTCAACTTAGAAAAGGTCTCGGAGATTTTAGATTTCTGGGGAGAGAACTCAGGACCTATGACCTGGAGACTGACGCCAGCCGAGGTCAGGCGAGTATTGAGTCTGAGAGTTGATTTTAAACCTGAAGCAATTTCCGCTCTTAAGTTGTAATCCCCGTCTGAATTGACACTTACCCGCACATTCTTTTGTTGTTTCTCCTTAAGTATCATATCTTCATTCTTATTTTTACCATTTCTTACAATTTTTGTACCAGATTTTTCAGTACTATTTTACCCTCAAACGTATACATTTTATTTTGGAACTCATACAGTGTAGAAGAGTACTTCGATTATGAATTTTTACCATTCATGCTTCCATTGCCAGCTTTGTAAATTTTTGAAGTTCAAAGTTTGTAAAGAGAGTCGCATACTAGACTAGTAGACTTGATATATATATATATATATATATATATATATGACGAATAATGCTACTCTTACCACATTTGTGTATCACATTTCCATACCAACTTATGTGGCAGATGAGATGGAGAGCCACATCAATTAAAATTATTTAATATTTTCTTTTCTTTTATGATTTATTAACACTAAAAAAAACTGTTAATTAAACTTTCTTTATTAAAATATACTTCATTGATTTAATTGATGTGACATATGATATGGATATGCCACATCATGTGGTATAGAAATATGGGATAAAAATGTGGTAAGTGTAGCATTACTCATATAGGACTATCGCCAGATTAAGCTGAGTGTCAATTTTGTTAATCACGTTTAATTTTGACATAAACTATTTTTATAGTTAGAACTTGACATAAATTTCCCAACTTTTTGGCAAATTACATGTTGGCCCAAAAAATCATCCAGCAAATCCAATGAATGCAAAATTTTGAGAATCATGTGTAGATATAATAAAATTGGAAACAAAGAGCCAACATCCCAACAGGGTTTTGCTTGCCAATACAAAAGAACAAGGATAATTTTAAAATGAGCGGTATAATGACCAAAACTGAAACAACTAACAAACATATTCCTGCTTACAGTAGATAAAGTTGATACAATCTTCTTACGTGACAAAGTAACTGCTAGCAGTAACTAAAAATTAACACCATGCATGTATCTAGGAACAGAGAGCTAGCACACGTCGATTGCTAGAGGTCCAACATTGATTAGACATGAGCAGTGCCCTGAGTGAACTTAGGATCTTCACATCTGTAGCTGCCATCAGGGCCGATTCCAAACCCCTTTGGA